AGGATTAGGGAAAGATTGTTAGATAATCCACTATTACCTTGTGTGAACACAGCAAGGGAAGGCGGCGCCGAAAAGGGTCCCTATTTGTGATAGTGTAGCCATTGCAGTGCGGCGCCACACACTCACCTGCAGACCTTTGTGAGGCACAAGCGAGTGCCCGACGCAGAGTCAACCCTGTATGTTATCTAGTTCCTGTAGCAGCATGGCAGCTGTACTAGGACTAGAAGGATAGAGTTGTATAAATATGCTATCACGATAATTCAGTAAAGAGAGTTTAGATTTGCCATCTCCTATACAGGACTCCGTTCAATGCTGGTGTCACTATTGTGTGTGTATGTTCTGTTCTCCCTTCTTCCTTTACCTCTAGCCATACTGTATGGTCGGACAACGCTTGTTAAGTGGTCGGTATAGCTAGTGAGTGCTCGGAAACACTAGCGGTGCTCTCGACAAGACCGATGAGTGAACAACTCACTTGAGCCGGTGATCCTATGGGTCAACATGAAGACGTCGCCGCACTCCTTATGGCGATGTCCATGAGGAAGCGGGTGTCCGCGACCATGCCAGCGTTCCAGAGCTGGCTCATGGATGGGTCGTGGCCGACGATGTCCCACACGTTCTTCCCATTCGACAACTCGAAGAGGGGCAGGTCTGTCGCCGGCAGCTCGTGCTCGAACCAAGTGCCAAGATCAAGGAACGGGGACACGAAGATGTTGTTGAGGATCAGGCCCAGCGTTGGAGTCAGGTTCTGTGACGAGCCGACGAGAAGTCGAGAGGCTGGAGTGAGGCCGTAGACGTGGTCACCATCGTCAGACGACGAGTTCTTGGCGATGCTGAAGATGCCGGCGACTGTGAGGACGCGCATGAGCCTGCGCAGATATGGTGTCTTGGACGGGTGGAGCGTGGCCTTGGTGGCTATCTGGATTAGGGTGGCAGTGCCGCCATGGCAATGGATGGCATCGGCGATGCCAAGCTGCAGCGCGGACTTGAACGCCATGGACTTGATGAAGGCAAACGTGCTGTGCCAGAGCTCGAGCTGAGCGTCGAGCAAGGCCTGCTGATCAGCGAAGTGTTGCTCCGTGATGGACCCCATGGCGTAATGGTGTCGGTTGCTTTGTTAATATAGCTTATTTTAGCTATGTTGGATATATAGGAGATCGTGTATGTAGGCTACTAGGCTAGCTACATCTCTATATATAGGCTTATGTTTGACAGTAGCGTAGAACCGTACTTTTGCCTTGATATCTATTCATAGTGCAAAACATCTACCACCTGAATTGAGACAAGAAGTGGATTATAACTATGACAAAGTCTTCCCACTTTTCGCTTTTCCATACCTGGTGAGCAAGATATGGCAACTGGGGGCCCATCTGTGTCATCTCAACACCTAATAAACTGTACCATGAAAATCATCTTAAGATGTCACACTCAGCAGGTGTTTCTTACTTCGGCATGTGAAGTCATGTTCTTGGTTCTATGTGTTCGTATTCTCAATTTTTGTTTTCGGATCTTGGCCATCATCGACATGTTTCGTTCGAATTGATTTGTTTTTGTTAATAATACTGTGGTCCGGACGCTCCGTGCCGGGTCTGCGGATTGGCCCAATAGGCCTGCTCCCACTACCATCACGTCTTCTCGATCTATCTAAAAAAATTGGATGCATTCCCCATTCTGCCTCGCTGATCGTGACGTTCTCTACCACCGTATCGCGCCATTCGACTACTGTGGCCGACTCTACCACGTCGCCTGCTCGCCGCTCGCCTTCTCCAGCGTTGGGACCGCTCGCCGCAGGCACCACACCCCACTCGCCCGCTGCAGCATTCTCCAGCGCGGGCGTCGCTCGCCACGGGCACTGCACTCGCCGACCCGTTGGCTCCCCCCCTCCTCCCCCGCCCCCGGGCCACTCCGTGGCATCAAGCTCCGCGTCAATGAGCCTCCATTCGTCCAAGTAGAAAGTAGATGTGAAAGCGCATGTTTTAAGTGCTTCATGTGTTTTAGACGTATGTTGTAAGTGTTTGATCCAGATGTTGTATATGTTGCAACGGCTATACACATATGTTTCAAGTGTATGTTCCAAATGTTTCAACTTTTTTAGACGTATGTTGCAAGTGTATCTTTCAAATATTTCTGCTGTTTCAGACGTATGTTGCAAATGTTTTATTTGGATGTTGCAGAAGTATATCTGAATGTTGCGTATGTTGCATTGACTATACAGATATGTTTCAAGCATATACTAAAAATGTTGCAATGGTAGGACCAATGTTCCAGAGGAGATGAGACATTAGGATGGGAGCGGAGCACGATGGAGGATGGGCGGGGCAAGAGATGGCGGCGCGGCGGGGGAAGTGGTGTGGCGTGGGGTAGGTGTGATCTGGGGATGAGTCTTGTGGGGAGACAGCCTTGGCTGGGGCGGGATGCATAGGTGACGCTGTTCGGCAGTAGCTCTTATTGTTGTTACTGTGAGGGGACAGGATGCCAGGCCAGCGGTGGATACGCTCGAACGGCTACGTCCGGCCGCGGGTGTCTGGCTGGATGTCCGGATGCTAGAAGCGTCGTTTTTGTTAGCCCGTGAATCCCATTTTCTTTCCCATTCCTAGTCTTTCAATTTCAATTTGTAGAGGTGTCTATTTTGTTGGTTGGGGTGGTCGATTACCAACCGTCTTTATAGAGCCCACCATTAGCTCCAACCAAATCAGCTGCTACTGGAAATACATTTTCAGATGCGAGCCGGCCGCCTCTAAAGTACTATTTTCATAGGTGAGTCTAACCTCTTTTTTCCTCAGGATAGAATTGTAGCCTCAGGAGAAAGCAAGGGGAGCTTCAACAACTTTTCAAAAATTGCAAATTTATGGGGCCAGTTTTGCTCTTATTTGTTTGAAGGATGAGACTATAGAAGGTAAGTACACGCCATTTATAATACCTTTTTCAATGTTTAGCGTTAGATTACTTGATTGATTAAGTTCTCCTTTTCTCACTCTTGCATGCTTGAGGCAACTATAAATGAAATTGGATAAAACCTTTGAAGGTCTTAGGTTGAATTTAGTTGGGGAATAAGATCCTGACCTTGTGTAGTGGCTATGTCTTAATTTTTACGGCTGTTATTTAGTTTTTTTTAATAGTGATAATTTGGATCCATGATTAGATCTAGATCTAGAATTATTTCATTAATCAATCAAAACACCACCTACCACTGAAAGCACACGTCGTTAAATCCTAAAATATTCTCTCCTACTAGGAGTCGAACCCAAGACCTGAGGTGCTATTAAGTCTCTTGTAATCTATTAGGCTATAGGCCCTTTCGCTCCAATGTGTTGATTATAATTATAGATAAAAATTAATGTATTGTTTCCGTACTAAGGCCTTGTTCGCTTTGCTGAAAAGCCATGGTTAAAAGTATTGTTCGCTGATTTGTTGTGAGAGAAAAATACTATTCGTTTGCTGAAATAGTATGGCTCATATGATAAGCGAACATGACCTAAATTGTAAAAGTGAAAATAAGAGAGGGCTCATCCTTACCGATCTTTTTTATTTCGCCTACACTTTCTGTAGCACTAGCAGCAGCAGGTGTGACACGAATCGATCAACGTACTGAGAACCACGTGCTTAGTTAACTATGACAAAATCCGTCCATTCTTCGCTTTTCCGTGCCTGGTAAGTGGCAAGCTAGATATGGTAACCGGTGGCCCATCTGTGTCAGTGTCACCTCAGCTAACCATACGTACCATGGAAATTGATCTTAAAGATGTCACGCTCGGTAGGTATTTATTTCTTGGCTTAATCGGACCAATGGATCATCAGATGGATGTTACATATCGCACTAGTGAACGAACCAAATCGATCGGTTTCGTATCATTCACGTGTAAATCGAGAAAGCAACATGAATGAATGTCCTCTGCTCTGACCAAGAGTCAAGGACAGTCGGACATGTCACAGCACTACAGCAGTGTCACTCTATCACACTTTTGATTTCCCTGCTCCTCCTGCTTGGGGTGCTGGATCATGCCAATGTGACAGTTGGGCTATTGACCAGAGATCGATCAGGATCCCATCCACTCCGGCTCTGCACCCATTTTGCACAAGGGCGCAGTTCGGTCAGGATCTCATCCATTCCGGTTTTGCACCCATTTTGCACAAGGGCGCGTGCACCTTTCCAGTTTCTGGATCCACCTGTTCGCTGATGCTAAAATTTGGCTTATGCTGAAATGTTGTGAGAAAAAAACACTGTTCCATAGAAAGCAACTCCTGTCCCTGCTCCTTGGAGGCAGAGGAATGGGTGGATTGCATTGGACGCGACAAGTATTGTCTTATTTAGTAACTATACTCAAAATGTATGGAGTGTCCATACATATATGTGGCTTTCTTGAATAAGCGGATGGACGACAATTCGTACTTCAGGTCAGTTTATAAAAATTTTGGAGTTTGGAACCATTGCAGAAAGCAGTTAGATTTTATACAACTGTATCTCTGGAGCAGAAAATCTATTAGAGCAGGTAAGATGCATGTAGTAGAGCTTAAAAACACAACGCAAACAGCAGTACAGCACACAGAAACATAATTTTGGCTAGGCCTTTCATAGCAGAGTAGCAGCACCACTTGATGCAGCATGATACATCTTAGGTTAGGGTTGCAGGCACAGGAACGTCTTCAGTGTTAAAACACGACAGTAGTTAAAAGACAATCTAGCTCTCAGTCTTGAACATCAACAAAAAGGTTACAGCTATGAGTCAGAAGCTGGAGCGTGCTTGTCGCTGGTTAGTTCTGATCCTCTGTCCCAAATTATAAGACAGTTTTTGCATTTTTAAATTCATAACTTTTACTATGTATCTAGACATAATATATATCTAGGTGCATAGAAGTTATGAATCTAGAAAATCCAAAACGTCTTATAATTTGAAACGGAAGGAGTACATAATTGCTTCAAGCCGTGAACTTTACAGGACGGGCCTTGGCTAACACTTTCACAAGTTCAGAGAAACCACGAATGCACCTTCATTTTCCTTCGCTTAAATGAAGTGCTCCGACGGTCCGACCTTGCCGTCTGCACGATGACAAGGCCCAACAGCTTGGGTGCGGCAGATTTCTGAATTTGCGCAGGGCTTCCTATGATCACAGGGGTCGGTCTCACTGCAAAAGCCATGAACAGCGCTTGGCAGCTGTTATCTCTTTTGATGTTGGGACACCCTTCAAAACAGGCATTTCTTGGACCAGGGTGTCACTTTGCACCCATGTGATGTACAAACCTTTTGTTACCCTGCGGCACCTGTTTTCCCAGTACCCATCCTGCGCTTGAACACTCCCCACAGATAGTGTTTCCCTTGGAACCCTACAAAAGACAGGGTTTGATAAGTAAACTGAAAATATTTTTTTCTCGAAAAAAGTAAACTGAAAATATTGGCCATAGAACAAAGTAAAGCTGTCTGAACTCTTAAACTACAAGAACTAAACAACAAGAAAGTAAATAACTTTTAGTGCACATTGTCATCAAAGTTCATGGTTGCAAATTTAAAACAGGAGCAATGCCATATCGTATCCATGATATTTGTAAACATTGTAAAATCGGCAATATGGTACTTACTTTGACATTGCTCTGGTAGGAAAACAGAAGGGAAGATCAGCAGCTTGGCAAAGCCAACGACATATTTTAGTACTAAGCTATGATCAGTGAGATAATGCACTAGTTGATCCAGTTCCCTACAAAAGCAACAAGTACATTTTAAACCATGTACCTGAAAATACAAAACAAGCAGCTGTCCATAGGTTGGACGGTAGGTCACGCACCTCATATTATCTGAGAAGAAATACAAGCCAATGCAATCAGCAGTTGGTTCTGATGCCTTCCACCTCCCTGGCCAGGCTTTCAACTTCGAATGCTTTGTCACTTTCATTAGAGCTGGTAATGATAGTGATAATTCCTGCACCTCCTTGCATGCTTGATTTGACAGATGTGCAGCCAATGAAATATACTCCTGGCCAATCTTCATGATTCCACTATCAGCATAAAACGTGAGAAACATTAGCACTGCAGAGAGAAAAATATTGAAATGCTTTAGAATGGGTTTTGAAGGCATCTAACATACGTCCAGAAAGGTTTATCAATGGGTCTCGTGCAAATAAAGCTTTGCTGATCTGATGCTAACCATGCAGCATCATTCCGTGTGCATGGAACACTAGCATTCCCTAGAGGTGCTTTTTTATCTTTGTTGGCCCTTCTCTGCTTCCTTGCCTTCATATCATCATTGGCATGTTGATTATTTGAATTTCCTGGAGACATTGCTTCCTCAGAATTTTCTGCGGATCTTTGCTGCTTCATCACATGACTTTTCACATGTCTCCTGCGCATCCTCACTTCCATCTGCATTGCCTCGGCATCTTCATCATATGATAAAATAGGCCGTTTTCTTTTCTTGGTCATGACATTCTCAAAAGTTCTTACAGATTTAGAACATCTTGGTTCTGCATCATTGGCATCATTCACTTCCTTAGTTTTTGGAGATAAATCCGAGGAAGCACTTGAGCAAGTATGATCAATTTGCTTTGATGGCCTACAACTTCTTATATGTGCAGGATCTGTATATCTGTCCTTCATAACGAGCTTGGTTTTCTGATGTTTAGTATGACGTGGAATATGTCTGTTTGGCCCTTTATATTGCTTTCTGAAGCTACTTTTTGTTGCCTTACATGGACTAACATGCTTGGAAGGCAATGGCATCTTCCATTTGTGATGTTTGCCTACAAGCCACATTTTTGGCATTTGAAACCAAAGTCTTGGGTACATCATTTTGGAGATTCTTCCCTTCAGCACTGGCTTGGGATAGTAACTTCCATTAAAATCATTGCAACTGCGATGAACTTCATCTGACCTATTTGCTTCATCTGAGTTGTCTGCGTTAGAAACCAAGCATTCTTTTGGTGTCGAGGGATTTAATGCCTGGACATTATGCAGTGCAGGGGTCAAAGTTCCCATGCCTAACAAGCATTCTGTCATTTCAGCACTGTGTCTTTCAACAGCTGAGGCTCCTCCATTTGAGGAACTTGATGGTTCTGCTGAGGGATTTGATCCCTGGACATTATCCAGTTCAGGGGTGACAGTGTCCATGCCTGACAAGCATTCTGTTTTTTCAGTATTGTTTTTCTCAACAGATGTGCCTCTTCCGTTTGAAGAACTTGATGGCTCTACAGTATTTGACATTAACCTTGAGTCCATCCGCTCCTTGGAAGGATCCAAGACATCCATATTCCCAACATCTAGATCTGATCCTTGCATTGGCTGTGAGTAGTTTGATGGAGGCTTCGATCTTAGGATACTATTTGGTGCATCATCCCATGGTCTAACCACCTCCAACGGATCAGGTTGCTCCCAACTTTCTGACATAGGACTAGAACCATCTACTTGCTCCTCACTTGACCATATAGGACTAGTTTTATCAGTAAAATTGGGATGGGTTTGCTCAACATATTCAACTGAAGCAAATAAGCCAGGCTCCGCTCCTTGTTCATCAAGTTTTAACCTTGAGTCCAACCACTCCTTCGAAGGATCCAAGACATCCATATTTCCAACATCTAGATCTGATCCTTGCATTGACTGTGAGTAGTTTGAAGGAGGCTTTGATCTTAGGATGCTATATAGCACATCATGCCATGGTCTGAGTATAACCACCTTCAAAGGAACAGGTTGCTCCCAACTTTCTGATGCAGGACCAGAACCGTCTACTTGCTCCTCAACATCTTCAACTGAAGAACATAAGCCAGCCTCCGCTCCTCGTTCTTCGATTTCTAATGCACGGCCCACAGGTGAATGGCTTGTACCATCAGGATTAACCATCTCCGAAGGATGAGGTTGTTCCGCATTTTCCAATACATCATCTTTTTGCTCCATATTTGGTACTGTAGGGCAAGAACTATCCGTAACACATGGATAGGATCTCTCAACATTGATTAAAGGAAGTAAGTCAGGTTTTGTTCCTTGAGTGAACCCTTCAACACAATTCAGTGAAAAAGAGCAGTTATCTTTTTCCATTGAGAGGTCCAGACACTCCATTGTGTTCATAGTAGGTCCAACAGCACCCGCTGTCTTTTGTATTTCTACAGTAAGGTCAGAAGCTGAATGACTTGAACCATCAGCACTTTCTGGTTGATAAAATAAGTGGTCATTTTTACTTTCCCCTTCCTCTAAAATATCATTGCGCTTTAACTTTTTCACGACAAACATTTCAGAAGAATTGAATGCATCTGCACTCAGAAAATGTTTAGTGGAGGCATCAGAACTATCTCTTCTTGCTTTCTGCGATCTACGTCTACGACACCCCCATGTACTATACCTTGCCTTGTGCGACCTATGTCTACGACACCCCCACAACAAGGATTCCTTGGTCACCTTTACTCTATTCACATTTGGTTCATTAATTATAGAACCCAATTGAATAGAGTAGTGGTCATCACAGCTAGAGTCATTGGGAACATGGAACCATGTAACGCTCCTCGTTTTGAGAACATCATTCATGTTCTGCGGACGCAAGAACATTCTCACCCCTGCCTTGTTAAAACCTTCCTCAAATAGCATGTTGTGTTCCTCGATCACATTCCTTGACCCCTTCCACCGAGGAACTTTGTGACTATGATCACAATTCCACTCTAATGATTTCAGGACTTCATTATGTTTTGGGGGGCAATCGTCACACAACCATTCAAATGATGAGGCGTCATAAATTACCGGATCCAAACAATATCTACAAAAACCACAAACAATGCTAGTTAGGGATAGATCTTCTATGGCTCGAGGTCATAGAAGTATACAGGTAATATGAGGAATAATTAACTACAATTAACCCTACCAACTTGATTGTTTAAGCGAAGTTTTTGGAAGGGTGAGTGCTAAAGTGGCAAAGGCTCTTTTGAAGTCCCTTGTTTGCTTTCAAAGTTCAATGGGCATGGTCAAGGCCAAGACATGTTCAAAACAATGGCAAGGTGTTGGAAACATCAAGATTACGAGCAATCTAGTGTTAGGGGCTGCTGGCCTCAACCCCTCCCCTACTCTCACCCACGATCCCGAGGTAGGTCAACACTGTATGATGAAGAAACTGGCGACGCAGCAGCGAAGGTCCTTGACGCTAGAGGCAGATCTAGTGCATTAGGTGTAGGTCCTTTACGGACCCCTGCCTAATCAACACCACATGATAAGAATGATGGCATGTCAAGATCACGTGAAACTATTGTGGCTAGGGATGCCTTGTCTAGTGACCAAAGGGAGGTTAGCTTTGTGGTGGATAGGGTGGTAGGATGCCACTGGTCGTGGGGTGGGGCACCGCGGCAAGTGGTAGGGAGTCATGACATCCCACTCTTCTTAGTTCATGAGAAAGGGTTCAAATTGGTAATATCAAAACCTACATTTTGGCGCGGCTTTGTGGCCCAAGTGTTCGTGTGCTTTGGGGTTGCACTGACCTTAATAATTAGGTAGATCTGATTCCTTGAGCCTTTAAGTTCTCGACATAGCACCTAGGTGGCTGGTGCAAATCAAGGATGAAAGTGTGAGAAAGGCGAGAGGGTCTTTAGTTGAGTTGGTTAAGTGCCTTGAGTAGCACTCCTCAGGTCGTTCGATTCCCGTGGGAGCGAATTTTTCATTTGAGGGTTAAAAAATCCCTCGTTTGTCCCACCCCAAAGCGGATGTCTAAGGTCCATACGGTCATGGTCGTTCTCACATGGGCTATGGTGCCGCTATGTATGGGTAGAGCAGGGGTTCGGGGGACTTCTAGGCCTGCGTGACAAGGTCTTCTTCTTATGCAGTGTTGGGGATTGTCTTAACCCCCGAAGGTTGAGTTTTTTAAGTGAAAGAAAGATGTTATGATTGTGACATTGTGGGGTTAGGATCAATGTTCAAAAAGGCACTAGGCGATTTCTCGGCGATGACCCATAGCCTAAAGCGTACTAGAGCCTAAGCGAGCCTAGGCGTTTTTCTAGGCGTTTTGTATATATACTAATATACATATATTATCTTCCAAAAGAAACAATAAACAGCTGAATAGCGGTCTGAGATAGATAGAAAGGCTGGCTTACATAGATAGAAAGGCCCAAGAGGCAAGAGTACAGCCCATCTCCCACAACAAGTCTCCAACCTTATCCATCTCTCCAGTTCCAGCCGCACTCGTCGCCCTTCCTCGTCGCAGCCACACCCGGCGTCCTTCCTCGTCTCCCGCATCAGCCGCCGCCGTCGATTCCTCTCCCTCTCCGGCATCTCTCTCCTCTAGTGCGCGCCCGCCGCCGCACGCGCCTGCCGCCACCGCCCGCAAGCGTCCGAAGCTCCTCCTCCCCCACCGGTGACCTCTGCCAGACGCTCCTCCCCCACCGGCACTGCCGACGAGCTGGCGCCGTCTAGGAGTCCGCCCCTAGGCCAGGCGGGACCCCCTCGCCTAGTGCCTTGTCGCGCCTAGGCGGACGCCTAATGTCGCCTTTTTGAACATTGGTTAGGATGTAAAATGGTTTTGGGTGTGGGGTGCTACACAAATAGACCTTTTTTGGAGTTGGGATTTTACTACTTATTAAAAGGTGTTGTTTCACGAAGCTCCAGTTTGACGTTCATGCAAAATTTAGAATCTATGATAAATTGAAGTGCTTTAGACCTATGTGTTTAATCTAAAAATGAGAAAACGAATGGCTCAACTCAATACTAAGTCAACCAGCAGCTCCAGCTCCAATAATTTCTATAGTTAGGAAGGAGTAACTACAAAAAGTATTGGAGCTAGAGCTTCGCCAAACAAGCCCTAATTACAATGAGACTTTACTGCATGGCTCTTAAGAAAGTGGAATGTAAAAAAAAGTAAAATGCACCATGAGTCCTTAGAACTTTTTATGGACTCTCAATTAGGTCATAGAACTAAAGTGAGCATCTAGGTCCTCAATCTACTGTAGATTCTCACGTGAGTTCAACTAAAAAAGTGACCATTTAGGTCCTTCAACTAATGATGAGCCCGAGTAGAGGTCAAATCCCACCACATCATGTTTCTATGCCTAGTGGTTGTGCCATTCACAGTCACACGACGGATCGTGGGTCTTAGTGGGGTTCCATGTCCCGGGAACGGTAATTCTGAATCGTGGTTCGGCACAACGACGGGCCAATGCTTGGGATGGGAGTCGGGATGATGTCCCAAAGCACACCAAATCATCGAGGCATATGCCCTACGCACCCGGGAACTTAAAATTGTTGATCCACGTCCCACATACCCATTCCACTTGTGGAAGAACCCTCCATCCCCCTCTCCTCCACGTCCACTCCCTCTGCCTCCTGTTGGTCCTGTGCGTACTGGCCTCGTGGCTACGCCTACATGCTCACCTGTGCTCCGAAGGCACACGCTCAGCACCCATGGAACAAACAAATAAAGGTGGACTGCAAGAGAGGCAAGGACTGCTAGGGGAGAGAGATGGAGGGGTAGGGGATGTTTTTTTTTTTGCAACCTCAACTGGCACGGCAACATAGGCAACTGTCGGTGGCGTGGCGGGTTTTGGACCTTTAGTCGAGCGCAACAGAGATTGAGGACTTAGATGGTCACTTTTTTTAGTTCGTGGACCCAAATGAGATTTAGCAATTGATTAAAGACCTAGATGGTTACTTTTATTAGTTCAAGGACTCAAATGAGAATCCTAACAAACATTTGAGGCTTTTGAACACCATAATGACAAATAAACAAGCAGTTCAGTATACAAAGATAATCTTATGGATGTGACTAACAAGGACGGAATTGAAAAAAATAATTCTCTATAAAATGTTAATAAATCATGCATCCAAGCAATTCCAAACTTCATTAGGACAAGATAATCAAAACTAATGCATTTGTTTTGTTGTTTTACTTAGGAACTTTAATTTGAAAATAGAAGACATGAAGACTTTGAAGAACAAGTAGAAAGAGAAGTTACAGGTGCCTCGCAGCGTTCTTGCAGTTGCTACATTGTACTAAAAGCTGCCTGTAGCCAACAACACCACACACTTCACAAACGAAGTCCTACATAAAAGTACAAACATGCAAATTTGGTTAATTCACAAAACCTCCCAATTTAAAATAACAAGCCTTCATGGCCTAAGTAAGCGCATATCAAAGTTGTGCTTGCATCCTGGCAAGGTGCTTGCCAGCAGGATTTCTCACGATTCTACCAATATGAACTGTAGTTGATACACAAAATCTAACACAACAAAAAAAAATTCTCAATAGTGTTTCACGTTTCTGTACTGTATATTTATCCAGGGCTCCAGGTGCCCACCTAATGCTTCGGAGTGTAGGAAATTGCCACAATCTCCTCGAGCTCCGATCTCCTTGCCCATTGACAATGGAAAGGTTTAGGAGACACGGCAGTAATAGCAGTTCCTAGATCAGTCACAACTGTGAGGTCCCATTTGGAAATCAGTATTGAATCTTGCAACGAAACCATGGTTTGGGTCCACAGACCACTGCAGCGTGTTTCAGGATGAGATATTTGACTATTTTTTCTGCAAAACCAGGAGCTGAGGACTCCTCTCCGTCATGCACCCCACCGGCTACTATCTGAATCTGAAGGCTCCCCTCGAGCAGGAGCTCGCCCTCAACCTCGCCCCTCCTCAAAATAGTACCAGGCTCTACCAGCCCATGCCCAATTCCACGCATTCAGCACAAGAACAGGATAGGCCTAACGTAACGCGACTCCACCCGATTCGATTCCCCTTCCCTCCCGAACAGACACACAATTTGTGTCCTACTAGAAGCCGAGCAAATGTAATCGGCATAATCTCGAACACCTTGCCCTCACAGAGTTGGTCGGCTGAACCCGCGAAACACTCTCTTCCGAAGAAATCGGCCAACCAAATAACGAAGAGAAATCAACGCGCCACACGAATGAAGAGGGTGGGAACTGGAGCGCGAGTGAGGAACTGAGGACCCGTACCATATCGCAGAGTCGCGGTGCCGTGAGAAGCTCCTCCTCGCCGCTGTCTAGATCCGCGCTGCGGAGGGCCTCAACAACGAGGCCAGAAGGGATGCGGCGCGCGCTGCCAAAACCATGCGCCCTTCTCCCCCATGGCTTCAGCCTCCACCAGATTGCAGAGTGAGCGCCGCCGCCGCTGCGAGCGAGAGGCGTGAGCCTCGCTTCGAGAGGGGAGGGCAGAAACGGAAGGCGGCTGTAGCGTGTGTGGGCTTTGTTGGTCCTCGGGCTCGGGTCCGCTGAGCTCGAAGGGATCGAAGTCGGCAGCTTCGGCGCGACACGTTGACAACATGCGCGGTTCATGCACCACACGTGGCGTTGCGATGAGTAACGGTTGCGACACCCGGCGGCCGCCGCGGCGAAGCCGATTTGTAAGCCTTTGGACAATTTTATCGGCGAAGAGACAAGCCTCGGGTAAGTTTCTATTTATTTCTTAAAAATTGAAAGAAATTTAAAAGTATTTTATAATAAAAGAAAATGTGAAGCACTTTCTAGATATTCTTTTTATCCATGAGATCCAAACAAACTTTTAAGAGTATTATTTTAGATCCTCGACTTTGTAGTTAATTTTTACTTTATATTTGAGCATTAAAAAAAGATCTACCTGTCTACCTGGCCTCCTAAATTTATTGAAGGCCTAACATCTTATTCCTAGATTTGAAATTTAAATTTTTAAAATTGTGTTGTAATAATATGTTAAGTCTATATTGGTTTAAATTATGCATATACAATATTTTTTTTATTTAACTGTGGAGGTAAAATGAATATCATGGAGGATTAACATGCTAAAAACTGTAAGAAAATAAAATATGAGATCCGTTTTAGATAGTATTGTTATAGACAACCGTACGATAGGTCTAAAATAGGGGCTATTTAAAAAGGCAAGTAGGAAGCCTGTTTTAGGTAATCCTACCAACGATGCTCTAAGTACATCAAAAGCCAGAAAAAAAGAATTCTCCCACTACCACTAAAGCAAGCTTATGTTTTGTTGTGGTTTCAAAAAAAATATATGTTATGTAGACAGGGAAGTTATACAAAAAAATTAGTTTTATGATGCAAGGCTTTCAAATAATATTCTATAGGGAACACTGAGAGTTATATAATAACTTTCTAATCTCGGTTATAGTTAGTACCACAGGTCCATGCCATTGTCTTCCTCTCCTAGCACCATTTTTCTAATTAATTGCACTACCACCTGTGACGTTTTATCCCTTCACTTTCAAATCTTCTACCAAATCCAAATAAAACTAGCAACGGGTACTCTAAATCGACTGCTACAGCCCCTAAGTCAGCCATTTGGCATCACAAAATCCACCTTCTTTGCTTTCTTTATGACCAAAATTGGAGAAACTCACCTTGATTTCCTCCTCTGTGCTCGCCCATGTCTGGAGCTCAGTCCGCCGACGATGGATGCCTAGACCGTCCCATCCACACGGCCGCACCATGATGCTGAATTTAAGCTTCATGGCCACCATCTTATTCTTCTCCCATGCTTTGACCAGAATGAGTAGGGTCATGCTAGAGTTTCTCTTGCCCCAACGAGATACTCCCTCCATAAGAGATAACGTAACCAAGGGGTAAACCTTGTACAGAGCCACCGCCGCTATGCCGACCCACCTAGGGCCCCTCTCCTTCTTCCTCTCTGGTCCGTCTGCCGGATACAAGAAGGAGAGGGGATCCATCCTTTTTTTTCCGCAGTTTTCTATCTAGTTGATTAGGTTTAGTCTAATAAATCTTCCAGCGAAATCAGATAATTTTCGGCCAGGATCGTGTTTCCTACGATGACTTCGGTGATTGCCGCGACGAGATCGTCGTTGCAGGCGTCGATTTTTATCGGCAGGTGGCCAATTTACGGCCTTTATCTGCAAGGGGAGGGGTGCTTCTGCCCCCTACGAGGACAACGATTCCGGGTCATCGATCTCATCATCGATGATCGCGAAGAGGAATTCAAGGTCTCCAGGTGATGGCTGCAGCCTATGTCATACCCGACGATGCAACTGCCGATATTCTTTCAGCGATTTAGATGTGTTTTGGACTGGTTCCAAAGCGTCGGAACTTGTGGCATGTCCAATGTTTTGGGGTTGATCGTTGGATTCGGCATAAAGATTACACTTTGGCTCTGGCTTTCGTGGGAAGCCATTGGGGAAGAAGACGATGGAAGAATCTGGATAGAATATTATGTATTTTTTATTTCAGATTTATTTTTCTTGTGTAATTTGAAGATGTACAGTGCCAAGATTTAATATAAGTCCCCCTTCCCTTCGCAAAAAAATGAGGTACTCCCTTTGTTTTTTGTCAAATGAAGCTATCGCTACTTCGGCGGGTCTCTCTGATACCCTATGAAACCACCATTTCAGTCGCGTTGGGGTGATCTCAACATGTTTTCATCTTTTAGTTCATTTGTTTAAAAACCTAGTTGTTCAGCTTTTTAAAAGCTAGCTCAACAGTTGGGTTGTCTGCTTCTTGATTGTTAGAAGGCAACAAAATTTTGAAACAAACAATCTCCCTCCATCATCTGTGTTGAGTATTCTTTTCAAAACTTGTGATGAGGAAAACGTAACATAAATGCTAAACATATTTTTGCCTAATATATACTAACAAATATGTCTAGAATATACACCTTATTGCACTATTATTTAAACGTCCTATGTCTCAAAGATTTATGTATTAGAATCGAACTTCATGCCATTGTTGCATGCACAAACACGGGGTTGTAGAACTCATATGAGCACGGGTTGCAAGTCTGTATCAAATATATAATAACATCTACAGTATCAGATTTGTTTGATTAAATTCTCTATGAAACATACTTGGAAGTGCATTTCTTGAAACTTTGTCGATGTTATCATATGTCAAAGTGAACTACTACGTCCAGCTAAATATATGGGATATAGAGTGAGAGATTACCCAGAAAGGAAACGCCTGGGTGTCTATGACGCTTCAGTGCCCTGGCGATCCCGGAGGCGATCGTCGACCCAGTTCGTCTCCCGATCCGAGATCCAGCTCTAACCAGACTCAAGTTCCGATTCCCGCCCAGATCCTTGTTCCTACGTCCCCAGATACCCTGGTCCGATACCCCAAAGATCAAAAACAGAGAGTAATAGCCCCTGTTCCTACATACACATGTCCGATACCCCAGAGTCCAAAACGAGAGAGTGAAAGCCCTTAAGCTTCCAAAAACAAATAGAGAAAATTGAGAGAGTGAGAGAAGGGATCAAGAAGCTAGCGACCCTTTGGGAGGCATCCAAAGCTAATATTCAAGAGGCGATTACTGCTGCAGTAACCCAGAGAACAAATGCAGGTGTTAAAGCCAGCCCTGATAGCAGAGGAGGAAATGATGAAACGCCCAAAATCGATGAGCACGACTGTGGAGCAATTGCCGAGAGCAATGAAGGTATTCATGCGTCCATTAACAGGGCATCACAAGGGCCTTCAAAAGGGGAGGCTGCAAGGCAGAGGATCCACACAGAAATAATCCATACTCCACCCAGTTTGCCTCTGCCCAGTGTGTGTTCGACCGTTTGCCTGATGGACGGCACCCACGGAAAGGAGGTGGAGGAAGAGACCATGAACCAAGCGCTCATGGCCAGTAAAGCAAAGAGTGTAGCGGCAGGGTCTGGGGAATCCTCCCGGCCTATCACTGAGATCCCAAGCCAGAAGCTATCTGTGAACTTGACTGACGCTCGCAATGCCATGCATGCCCGCATCATCGCGGTCGGTCTGTTCATGTCCGTGCTGATGATCAACTGGTGCCAGGTGACAGATACTATGAAGAAGATCTGGAAGGGGAGGGGAGATGTCAATGTTACTCCGCTTCCAGGCAGGCGCTTCATCCTGGAATTCGCCGTCGAGGGAGACATGCGACATGCCATCCGCGGAGGTCCCTGGAGATACAGGGGCGATGCCTTCCTCGTCACCAAGCTGGAGGTGGGTATGGAGCCATCACTAATCCAGTTCAGTACGGTACCAATCTGGGTCCAGTTCCACAAAATCCCCATCTACATGCTCTCCAAGAATCTCGCTAAACAGCTGGGCGAGAAGGTGGCTGATGTCCTCCTGGTGGATGTCAACTCTCATGGAAATGTCAGCTAGAAATTCATCAGAGCAAGAGTTCTTCTGCCACTGCATGCTGCTCTTCAAAAGTCGATCACCCTGACCGATGAGGAGACGGAGGAGGAAGTGGTGACACAACTTTGGTATGAACGCCTTCCAAATTTTTGTTTGTACTGTGGTCTAATCAGGCACAAAGAACCCCAGTGTTTTGCACCAGAAGCAGGAAAAAAGATAAGATACTCAAAGGAGATCTGCGTCGCCCGGTCATCCAATGCGACCCCTGCTCTTGGCTCATGTCAAGGGGGCCGACGAGAGGAACACTGCTACTAGCCCCTACCCAGCCACAGCAGCAGATGGCGATACAGGAGGTGGCCAATGGCATGGCCAACCTGCTCGTGAAGGAGAACAGCAACTCCAACATGCCGACAGCGAACAAAACGCAGTTGAACAGTTCTAGTTTAACTTTCAATCTCTAGGAGAGCAGCTTGTAACAAACCCTCTAGCCTCTGTCGATCAGGAAGACATTGTAAAGCAGCCCTCAAATGATAGGCTGCTGCTAGAAGCTTGTAGTACTTCATTGTACATCCCAGAAAATGTAACAGATGAAGGAAAAAAAGACAACAGGCAGATAGGGAACAGGTCTGACCCGACGTGTGCTCCTGTCCAAGATGCGGGCATGGCCGAGGTCAACCAGATAGCCACCATGACACTGATGAAGAGTTCAGACACCAGTGCTCCGATACAAGCTGACACTACACCACGCATCCAAAATCTGCAGCACAGAAAATTGCTGGAAAATGGGTCAGGTTTGGTAACAGGGAGGAAGTTGAAGCTCAAAGCAAAATAATGCAACCAGCAGAACATGAACAGACCAAGATGCGCAATCAAAATTCAAAAAGATTCAGACCTCCTACATTATCTGAATGCCTAGGAGAGGAAGGAGTCAAAAGACTGAGAGCGATGGAAGAAAATTCTGATATGATTGCTAACAACTAGCCTGAAACAGGAATGCAGGAACCAGTGACAAATTCTGAAGAAAGGAAGTCAACAGGGGAAGAAGAAAATGAGGAAGGAGGTGGTTCGGAAGCTACCGGGCCTGGGGCTCCCTGTCAACTGACAGGTGCAAATGATAGCGCCTGTCAGGCGCCATGAGTATTCTAAGCTGGAACTGTCGGGGGCTGGGCCGACCCTGGACAGTTCAGGAACTTGCCTGCCTAGTGCAAACCTACAGGCCAAGTGTGGTTTTCATCTCTGAGACCAGACAGAGAGACTGATTTGTGAAAGGGCTCCGCTATCGTCTAGGTCTAAATAATGTTTTAGTTTTACCAGGGAAAGGTAAGGGTGGTGGGCTTGCCTTGTTCTGGGATGACAATATTTCAGTAGAGCTAAAAAAGATAGAGCCTCACTTCATTGATGTAAACATTGTCCTTCCGCCCTTTGCAATAAAATGGAGATGCACCTTTGTCTATGGTGAAGCTCGTGTTCAGGATAGGCACCTTATGTGTGAATTACTAAAAAGGATTAAGCCTCTTGGCTCTGGTCCTTGGCTGATGATGGGTGATTTTAATGAAACTATGTGGCAACATGAACATTTTTCAGCATCTCGCAGGGGAGAAAAACAGATGAGGGATTTCAGAGATGTTTTGTCTGAATGCAACCTCCATGACTTGGGTTACCATGGGCTACCCTGGACTTATGATAACAAGCGGGATGGATCAAAAAATGTAAAGAGCCGAATCGATAGGGTTGTTGCTTGCCCAACATGGTCTAATGCATTCCCAGAAGCGTCACTACAGCATATTGCAAGTTTTCGATCTGATCACCTACCCATTTTGCTTAACCTGTTCAACATAGAGAATATTAGAACAGTAAAGCAATGCCATAAATATGAAGCTTACTGGGAAAGAGAGCCAAGCATGAATGACACTGTTAAAAAGGCATGGCTGAAACAGGAAGGAAATGAACGTCTAGGCCAAATTGCTTCAAAACTTCAAGGGGTCATGTCAGACCTGAGAACCTGGAGCAAAAAAACTATTGTATCTATGTCGAAGAAAGTGGATAAATATAGGAAAAGACCGGAGAAACTGGCACACAGTACAGATCCTACTGACAACATAGAAAGGAAAAAATTGACAGCAGAATTGGAAGAGCTCTTGCTTAAAGAAGTGCTCTGGAGGCAACGATCAAGAACCTTATGGCTAAAAGAGGGGGACAAACAGCCTGTTCGCTGGTTGGTTTTTGGGCTGATAAGCCCGGCTGGTGCTGGTTTGTTGTGAGAGGAAAACACTGTATCATGGCTGATAAGCCCCGGCTGAAACCAACAAGCGAACAGGCTGAAAACACTAGTTTCTTCCATAGGAAAGCGTCCTGGAGAGCTTAGAGAAATAGAATCTCAAGCATCCAAGACAATAATGGTCAGACTGTGTCAAATGAAATACAGATCGGCAAGTTAATGAACTCTATACAAAAGATAACTCAGTGGAACCTGATTTAGTCATTGACAACTTGCAGGCGAGAGTAAACGATGACATGAATTTTTCTCTGTGCAAAATATTCATAGATGAGGAAATCAGTGATGCCTTATTTCAAATAAGTCCCCTAAAAGCTTCTGGACCTGACTGATTTCCAGCTAGATTCTTCCAAAGGAATTGGGACCTCAGAAAGGATGATGTAATCAAAGGAGTAAAGCAGTTTTTTGCCTCTAGTAAAATGGCTGAAGGAATAAATGACACTGTTATTGTTCTAATTCCAAAAAAGAAAGATGCCAAGGAAATCTAGGATTATAGACACATCAGCTTATGCAATGTTATCTACAAGGTGATCTCAAAATGTTTGGTCAATATATTACGACCTCTTCTGCAGGACATCATCTTCCCAACTCAAAGTGCTTTTATTCCAGGCCGGATGATTACTGACAATGCTATTATAGCTTTTGAATGCCTCCATGTTATTCAACAGTGCAATGACAAAAGAGGGGAATTTTGTGCCTATAAACTCGATCTGGCCAAAGCGTATGATCGTGTCAACTGGGACTACGTGGAGAAAGCTTTCCAAAAACTTGGCTTCCAAAATAGGTGGACTGCTTGGGTGATGGAATGTATAAAATCTGTCAAGTATTCTGTTCGTCTCAATGGGCAGCTCCTAGAATCTATCTCACCCACCCGCGGCCTCAGACAAGGAGACCCATTATCTCCTTACATTTTCCTTCTAATGGCAGGGGGCTTTCTACACTGATTAATAAGGAAATTACCGATGACCGGCTGCAGGAACTCCATATATCCAGGCATGCTCTAGGTATTTCTCACCTTTTATTTGCAGATGATAGCCTCCTGTTTGTGAAAGCCAATGAACAACAAGCCCAGATTGTAAAGAACATTTTGAACATCTATGAGAAAAGCATTGGTCAGTCAATTAGTAACAATAAATGCAGTGTCATGTTTGGGCGCAAATGGTCTGACAGTATTGCAGCAATCAGTTCTTGCTGGGAAACCCAGGATAGAAGTTATGAGGAAAAATATCCGGGACTTCTAGTTCCGGAAGGAAGAATGGTTAATGATAAATTCAAAAGTTTAAAAGAAAGATTCATTAAGAGGGTGAATGACTGGTCAGAGAAATACCTTTCAAGTGGGGGTAAAGAGGTGTAGCACTGGGTTTTAAGAACAAAACCAGATACGCACCATACGTGAGCCTAGAAAGTCAAATCTCACATATAACTACAAATAAGGGTAATATCAAAAGACAATGCTCAATATATAATGTACTTAGTATAAAGGATATAACCTTAGACAGCAAACAGCAGAAAGACAACTCCGATTTTCGGGTGAAGACTCCAATCCCACAGGGACAACTGACTGGTTGATCACAAGCCTAACTCCTTAAGACTAGTAATCTGGTACCCATCCGGGATTTTTATCCAAATAATTGAAAAATAAAGCAAGTGCAAGTACATGTCGTACTCAATAAATATAACATGGGGTTCATGAGACTCAAAAGGCTGACACTGGTTTAAGTGCGATTAGCTTTTAATGAGTCATGATTTTAGCAATAGGGAGGTAACAAGTTTATCCACAAGCCCACATAAACACATAATCAGGTAAACATGAATAATGAATAGCATAAACAGTAATCATTAGTGAACATCTTCATTATCAGTATCATCAGTGTTCATCTTCTATTCCGTAAGGGTTCCAAAGCCGCTCGTGACCGTGAGCACGGCTGATATACCAGTTTTATACTCTGCAGAGGTTGTACACTTTCACTATGAGTCGTGATTTACCCTTTCGCCCGAGGTCGCGAGCCTCTTAACCCACTACCAAGAAAGGTTGGCAGGGTTCACTATGAAGCCTTTCAAAGGTTCGTCTAACAAGTTAGGACCATTAGATTCACTCGGCAAACAGATATAGGAACCCCCCTATCGAATGGCACAATTCCATCACGGCTATACACATAAGAGTAGAGGCTGTCCTATACCCGATTCGGCAAGCCACTCTTACGCCAATAAAGGTAACCGCTAACAAGCTAGAAAATGTCATCATACTGACTTCATTGGACTTTATTTTCTTCCAAGCTTCTGCCACTTGTCTCTTCACTGGCCCCTTTGGTATGTTGGTTTGACCCTGTAGCAAGCACCGTTGAGAACTCCCATGTTGAGTCATTCCTTCTAATATTTGTTGTTGCATAGCTAAAAGCTTCTCCTTGTCGAATGTAATCAAGGACAACGTAGCAAGCACTATTGAGAGAGCAGGCCTTTGGGCTAGGAAGGAAGGAGGGAAATTTTCTTTTTCTTTTATTTTTAAACAAATTTTCAAAACCAAATTCAAATAAGATTCAAATTCTTTTGAGATTTTGATCAAACTCAATCACCACAAAATAAATATGCAGCAGCATGTATGCACAAACATCTTTCTAAACCTTATAATAAATTTTAATTTCATGATTTTTTTATTTCCTATGTTTTAATGAGCACAAAAATTCAAAATTAAATCTTTTTAACCCTATTTCAAAAAGAGCAATTTTTAGGGTGTTACGAGAGGTTCTGGTCAAATCAATTTTACAGAGCCTGCCCACGTATGCTATGATCGTGTTTAAATTCTCTAGGTCTTTGTGATGATCTCGAACAAATGATAAGGAATTTCTGGTGGGGTGATGAAAATGAAAGGAGAAAGGTTCACTGGTTAGGGTGGGATCAAATTACAAAGCCAAAGTTGAGAGGAGGAATCGGCTTTAGAGATCTGAAAATGTTTAATCAAGCTTTGCTAGCGAAGCAAGCCTGGCGCCTGCTTATATATCCCAACAGCCTGTGCGCAAAACTGCTAAAAGCAAAGTACTATCCTTTTGGTGATCTGTTAGATACCAGCTTCCCCCAAAATTCCTCACAAGTCTGGAAGAGCATTGAACATGGCCTAGATCTCCTAGAAAAGGAGTCATTTGGAGAGTAAACAACGAACACAATATTAAAATTTGGAGGGACAACTGGATACCAAGATCAGACTCGCTGAAAATTTCAAGTCCTAAAAATTCAAGAGTACGAAAAGTGGTAGACCTCATTCTTGAAAATCCAAGGGGCTTGAAAAATTCTTGAAAATGTTCCTATTTCATGAAGTTGAGGAACTTCTCAATCTCAGAATACCAGCGTCTGAAGGTTGTTGGCCCACAGGATCACCGGCTCAAGGGAGTTGCCCACTCAACCGATCTTGCCTAGCACCCGCTAGTGTTGCCAAGAACCCACTAGCCGTGCCGACCACGAACAGACGTTGTCCGACCACACACACGATGACTAGAGCTTGAAGAAGAAGGGAGAACAGAGCATACACGCACACAACAGAGACACCAGCGTTGGCCAGAGCCCTGAATGGGAGATAGCAAATCTGAGCTCTCTTTACTGAGTTGCTGTGGTAGCCTATTTATACAACTCTATCCTTTTAGTCCTAGTACAGCTGCCCTACTGTAACAGTGACTAGATAACATATAGGGCTGACTCTGCGCCGGCCACTGCATGTGCCTACAGTGCTGCAGGTGAGCCGTACGGCGCCCGCACCTGCAGCGGCTATAGTAACATAGTAGGGAGTCCTTTTCGGTGCCGCCTTCCCTTACTGTGTTCACACAAGATAACAGTGGATTATCTAACAATCTTCCCCTAATCCTACTGCTAACCCTTGTACCCCCTCCATGCCGATCATCTCCTTCAGCTCCGTGAGTCGAAGACGTCCGAGCGGCTTGGTGAGGATGTCCATGAGTTGCCGACCAGTTTCGACGAACTCGATGACGATCTGCCCTCCATCAACACAGTCCCTAAGGAAGTGGAACTTCATGTCGATATGTTTACCCCGGTCGTGCAGAACCGGATTCTTCGCGAGGGCGATGGCGGGCTAGTTGTCCACCATCAGTGCTGGTGGGTGAGCTTCCACGTCGGTCAGCTCGCCCAGCAGCCGGCGTAGCCACACAACTTGGCACGCCGCTGTGGCCGCCGCTACGTACTCTGCCTCGCACGTAGAAAGCGCCACCACCTTCTGTTTCAGTGACAGCCATGATATTGGAGCCGACCCGAGGAGGACGAGCACGCCAGAGGTGCTCCGTCGTCCGTCGATGTCCCCTGCCATGTCTGCATCGCTGAAAACAGTGAGCTGTAGCCTACTCCCGCCGGTTTTTGGGAAGACGATCCCGTGATCCATCATCCCCTTGATGTAGCGTAGTAGCCGCTTCACTGCAGCCCAGTGATCCTCTCTGGGATCCTCCATGAAGCGACTGACGTTGCCCACTGCGAACGCGATGTCCGGCCTCGTGTGGACTAGGTAGCGCAGATCACCGACGATGCTCTGGTAGAGTGTTGCATCCACCTTCGCCGCGGTGCTGGCCTTCGTCAGCTTCAGCCGCTCCTCTATTGGAGTTACGCATGGCTTGCACTCAGCCATGCCACTCCGCTCCAACAGCTTCGAGGCGTACGTGCTCTGCCCGAGCGTGAATGCCTCCCTCCCTTATCTCACCTCGATGCCGAGGTAGTAGGTGAGCGCCCCGAGATCGCTCATTCAGAAACGAGCTACCATCTCATGCTTGAAGCTGCTGATGTCCTCCGCACGCGCGCCGGTGACGATCAAGTCATCCACATACACCCCGACGATGAGCTCTTCCTTCCCCCGTCGCCGTGTGTAGAGCGCGTGCTCGGTAGCGCACCTCGTGAACCCAAGCTCGCCCAGCGTGGCGTCAAGCTTGGCGTTCCATGCTCGTGGGGCTTGCCATAGCCCGTAGAGCGCCTTGCGCAGTCGGAGCACCCTGTGCTCCTCTCCCTTGACGGCGAAGCCTGGAGGTTGCCTGACGAAGACCATTTCCGTCAGCTCGCCGTTGAGGAAGGCCGATTTAACGTCCAAATGTTGGACGCGCCAGTCCTTTGCTGCTGCCAAAGCTAGTAGCAAACGGACCGACTCCATGCGCGCTACTGGTACAAAGACTTCCTCGAAGTCGATGCCCTCGTGCTGTACAAAGCCTTGGGCCACGAGGCGCGCCTTGTGCTTAACAACGGCACCGTGCTCGTCCCGTTTGACCTTGTACACCCACTTCAGGCTGATTGGACGGCATCCTAGAGGTAGATCGATGAGCTACCAAGTCTTGTTCTCTTAGATCGCCTT